AATTTTGATTTTTGGATACTCATGACAATTTATCCTTGCTTGCCATTATAGAGAAGGTAACTAAGAATATTTATTGAAAAAGCTTCATAATCAGGAAAGAAAAAGAACTGAAGTTAAGCAATCAGTCAAAATAGCTCAACCATAATCTTCGTTTATTATCCGAATAAAGTGTTTTAACGGCATGCCGATTAAGGACACTTCGTATACATATCATCTCATATTCATGGCGACAGATCTGCTAACGGCGATTTTCATCACGCAACCCAATCGATTAACGAGCATTACCATATACGGAATCCTTTCGTAAACTGCCTTACTGAACAAAAATTCGCAAAGTCCTACAATCCGCGTAGACAGAAAACGGAAATTCAGAATGAAAATGGGGCGTTAAATTACCTTGTGCAACCCTAATTAGAGCGGCGAAAAAATGAAAATTAGGAAACTGCCGTTCTACGATGGTGACGACGACCTCAGAAAACCTGTAATTTCCTCCAAGTTAAAATTCGAGATCGGTGTGTCCTCGCTCGACGCCATCGTCTACGGTGGTCATGCTTGCGGTCGAGGTTGCGACGGCAAAATCGCGGTGGTCGGAGTTTAGGTGGGTGCTCGGGGGGTCAGGGTTTTGATGCGAGGCACTATACAGATAGCACGATTGTGAGAGACTTTGTGTGAGTTTGCCTGATTAAATTATTGTCCAAGTTTCATGACACGAATTTGAGGCCCAATAATGTGAAATTTTGGCAATTTATACGTGTAATCAGGCCCACAATGTAATTTGAATGAATTGTGCTGGACTAGGCTTCAATAGAACCGATATCGGCCTTGATCTAATATAAATACATTGATTAAAAAAAGAAAGGAAAAATGGCATGTCCTAGCATTTTTAGTCACAAGATTTTAACTTTTTGTATTTTGATTCGGTAATTTAGTATTTTGTTGCATCCCCAAGATTTTAACTTTTTGTCTTTTGATCCTGTAATTTTGTATTTTGTTGCAATTTCAGTCTTTTGGGACTGAAATTGCGTTGAATTTAAAATTATAGGACCCAAATAGCAAATGTTCAATTCTTAGGACTAAAAACGCCATGGGATCAAACTAACATGACTAAAATTGCAATTTTGCAAAAAAAAAAAAAAAAAAAAA